CTGGCTCAATGGTTAAAAGCACATTTACTCCCACACAGCTTTGGTTTCCAGTATCCACATGGCAGCTTATAATCATCCCTAACTCCAGTTCCAGGGGAATCCAATGTCCACTTCTGATCTCTGCTGGCACCTGGTATAAACATGATTTTCATACATGTAGACAAAAGTACTACATATAAAAAGTAAATAAATAACAGTAAATATGAGATAACTATGAGTTACGTAAGTTTTAAAAGATTGCTTAGGTTAGGAATAGAAAAGTATATAATAAAAAATAGAAATCCAACAAGGTTTCAGATGCTACATGTAAAAGTGTCTACTAAAACTTAACAGTAGTGGTATCAAGTAAGTACTTAGGACGTTTTAGCTACTATGACAACTATTATTGCTGCTACAATCTGCCCTTGTTCAATCATCACTACTAAGATATTTTTAAATGTTACATTTCTATTCAACTTTTTCTGAAGAAATCCATTTCCTATGCTGAAAAGTATGGCATCTTTGATATTCTGGATTCAGACTTCCTAGGTTCTGCTCCCAAACTCCATCTAGTAGCTGTATGAACCAGACTAGTATTTCAGTGTCTTCTGCATTTGTATCATTAAGATCAAAACAGCATTCTTCACAGAGGGAGCCATACAGTTTGAGTTATGAAGTACAGGTGAAAGGTTCATGATACCATCTAATGACAGCAAGCATTCCATGTATTCACACTAATTACTAAGTAATTAACAAGTGGGGTTCATCACAGTCCAGTGCTATCACCAATGGATAAACAAAACCCCAACTGTTAAGAGGTACAGCAGGTAGACTTACAAAGCTGAGTAACCTGCCCAGAGTCATTGTGCTACTGTGTGGCAGAACTGCAAGGCTAACTTAACACTTCGATCTACAAAGCAGATTATCTTTTTCACTCCCAACTGGATTATATAATTCATTTTCAGAATGGATTCTTTTCACATAACCACAGCCAGTGGAAGGCATAACTCTGTCCAAACTCAACACCATATAAAGTTTCTAAAAGTGAGGAATGTAATCAATTTGACATCCTTCTACTTAAAAAGTCTCTTATACAAGAGGAGGAAAAGTTCTTCTCCTCACCACCTATGACATAGAGTATTTTTATACGCAAGTTCAGTTAAGACTGTTATACAGACAGAATACGGTTTTATATGATATCCTGACTCACAGAGTTCTGTAAAGTAAGCTATAGCTAAGGATAGGCATACAGATGTTTCCACACAAGAACTACTTTGTTGTTCATTTATTCTATCAGAATTCTTCATAAAATTTCATGAGGATGGTTTCTACTGAAACACAAATACTGAAACGTGTGTCTGGGGGGGGGTCTGCAGGGCCATTATTCTACAGACTTGAAATTCACTTAGTTCTTGAGTATAAAGTTTCAAAACACTCAAAATTTCTACTGTTATCTAACCAAGGGAGAGGTACTATTCACTCTAAATTAAGATGTCCTAAAATTTACAGGATGATCTGTAATCTACATGCTTCAGTTACTAAAGCAAAAAATAATCCCAGCAAGACTAAGAATGGCGAATTCATAGTTTTGATTCCTATCCTGATAGAATAACTCCATCTAGCTACAATAGCTAGCACTGCCTAGTACAAGCACAGTTGACTGCCTAAAGAAAAAGTCTTTAAAGATGTGATCAGGGGTCTAGAGACATGGCTCAGCAGAAGCAGCACTGGGAACACAGGTTTGATTCCCAGCACCCACATGTAGCTCACAAGATTCTGTACCCCCAGTTCCAGGTGATAATGAGCCCTCTTCCGGCCTCCTAGGGCAATACATGCACACGGTGAACTCATATATACAGATAAAAAACACCCATAGACATAATCTTAAAATCTGATCATTAAAAAATTCAAAAACTATTTAAATTCTAAATAGACATGAAATGCACTTACAGACAAAAATTAAGGTGTAAAGTTAGTAACAACTTGAAAGTTAAAAATAATGAACAGGTCATTATATAATATATAATATATAATTCCATAAATTATGACATAATAGAGCAAGATTTAATGAGATCAATGTTTAATAAGGTTCAATGTAACTAGGTATACAACCATGTAAATATGGACATATGGAATATTAGAACTGAAATCAAAAGTAAGAACATTGACAGAGAAGGTTTGTTCTGTTTCAAAAACTAGAGTGACAAAAAGCCCAGAGTCAGTGCTGGAAAGACGTCACAGTGGTTAAGAGCACTGCCTACTCTTCCAGAAGACCTGAGTCTGGCTCTCAACACTCACATGATGGCTCGCAACCAGGAGTACCTTCAGTCCCAGATGACCTGGACTTCTGGCCTTCAAAGATACAGTGCACAGATATATACAAAGGCAAAAGGCCCATGTACATAAAACACAAGTACAATCTCAAAACAAGCAAGGATCTTTTAGTGTTAAGATACTAAGAAAGAATAAGAACTATTTAAGTCAGATAGATAATCTGCACAGAGACTGAGAGAAAGTTGGAAATGGAGGGAGAAAGAAAAGTCTAGAGACCCAAAAAATGAAATTCAAACAAATTCAAAGGGGGGGGTGAAGGGGAGGGAGGGAGGGAGTGAAGAGAGCAGAGAGAAGAACAAAGACATTCAGAAAATAAATCTACAAAGGGACAGAAACCTCGAGTCTAGAAGAATGGAACTTAAATATGGAGTGGGAAACTACTCCAAACCAAGAAATATCTTTTTATTTTACTCTGAAAAAATTAGAGTGCTCAAAAGTTGAGATTCATGATGTTAAAGGCTACTTTTTTAGTAGACACGGACTTACTGTTCTTCTGATAAACATGGTAGCGTCTATAAGAATGGTTGTGGTAAACAGAAAACCAAAGACAGGAGCAAGGAGGGAAGAAATCAGCCTCTCAGGTATTCAAATAATAGCCAGTCAGTTTAAAGTCAGAATGATAGACCCTCCTGCCAAACCAAAAGCTGAAAAGCATTCAATACCCAGCAAGCCTCCCTCTTTGCCCTTTAATTTTGTAAAGTTAAATGTGTTAACATTTACAAAACATTAAAATAGTGTCTGGTACATGGGGACTATGTTTATTACAGTAATTAAGACATAATATTTAGGGAAATTTTAAGGAGGCATTTGTAAATGAATCTATATGTTATCTAGTAGATCATGAAACAAATCATTCTGACCTTAACTTTACTACTCTCTAGGGCATTATAATGTCTAGCATCTAATAATAAAGAAGTCATGAGGATACAAAATTCCATTATAAAAATGCTGTGGACAGAGCAGATGCTCTATAATCTTATTTGGGAAGGGACAGGAAAAAGTAAAGACATGCCAAAATAAACAGTAATGGGCAGTTTGTTAGGTTAAGAGAAAGGAAAAAAAAGTAGTACCAACCAATTGGCTGTAGAAATAAAAGAACTCGGAATACTTATGAGAATTTACAATTCCTAATATTAGTAGAGGGCTCTTTAAAAAGTAAAAAGAACTAAGAAACAAATAATAGATCAATTTGCTAATCATGGTTGTTAAACCATGTGTTATAACAATAATTAGATCTGTAGACATGAACATCACAAACATGGATTAAGTTAAGTATCTTCTTGTATTATAGGTTTGAGGTAGGGTACCTCAAATATCTAAGGACACCTAAATAAAGTTACATAAAAAAATCATTAAAAACGGTTACACTAGAAATATTCTAAAAGGCGAAAGGCAACATTGGCTTAATAACATTAAATATTACAAGCATAAAATCTGAAGCCCAAAATATCATGTGATCCCATTTAGACAAATTAAAAAAACAAGGTTGTTACTTGCCTTGATTCTTCTATTCAAACCAGTATGGGGGGGGTAAACAAGTAGAAAGGACAGTGATAGGCAGCAAGAAGGAAACCAAAGAGACTATTCAGAGGAGGAAGTGAATGGGGCATCCTTGCTTTCACAGAATTAAATGCAACCAGAAGCTGGGCAGTGGTCACACATGCCTTTAATCCCAGCATTCAGGAGGCAGAGGCAGGAGAATCTCTGTGAGTTCGATACCAGCCTGGTCTACAAGAGCTAGTTCCAGTTCCAGGACAGCCTCCAAAACCACAGAGAAACCCTGTCTCGAAAAACTAAATAAAGCAACCAGAAACAGTGGCTGTTTATAGTGAGCTTTATAGATCTAAGTTTTCCCCTGGCTAAGCAATGTCCCCCTACTTCTTTCTCTTCTAATCAACTTCCAATTAACATAATCAAATCATTTTCCTTTCTCTATTAAACAGATGACCTACCTGAAGGCTCGTAAGCACATAAGGAACACAGAAATATTAATAAAAGGTATAAATGGGCTTGAGAACTGAAGACATCTTTACTTTAAAGTAGAAAATCCTTTCCTCTCCATTTTTCAGGGAACTTAGGATGGGGCTGTTTATATGTAGCATTGGTTGACCTCTCTCACTTGAAAGTTTTATGCTTCAACTATTCATGTACTGAAGTTATAGACACATGCCACCACAGTGAGCTCAGCAAATTTGCTTTCTTTTTAAATTATGTGTTTGTATACGTTCCTGTGTACAAGAACACAAGTCCATCTCTGTGTAAGGAGGCCAGAAGAGACACTGGGTATACAGCTCTATTATTCTCAAGACAGGTTCTCTCACTGAACCTGAAGCTAGGCTGGTAGGCAGCAAGACCCCCAAATCTGTCTGTCTTCAACCCCCACAGAGCTGGGGCTGTACATGCAAGCAGCCACACCAAGTTTGACTCTGGAGAGGTCCTCACGCTGGTGTGGCAGGAGATGCTAAGTCATCTCCCAGGAGACCCAGGGAAGATTCATTAACGTTCATTTTCTCATTGACATTTTTGGGTTACAATCAACAATACCCTAAGACTTTATCTTGAGTTCAGAATCACTGTGGTTTGTGCTTTGAATTCTTCCAATCAATTAGCAAAGCTATTTGTTGGAAATACGGAGGAGTTATTTCTAGAAGAATAGAATAGTCAGTTCCTTTTTTTTCCACACCTACCTTCTCACCACTCGAGTAGAAGAAATACCGCAATCGGACTATGTTACAATGATCTAGCTTTCTCATGATCTGGAGCTCTCGGTTCTGCAAAGAAAGCACATAAAATATTTAAGAAAGCAGTTACTCATCATAATGACCAAGGTACTTCTGAAATAACAGTAAGTATAGAAATAGGCTCTGAATATACTGTTAAAATGTATGGCAAGCCAGGCACCCAGTGGCAGAGAACTGTAATCTCAGTTTTCCTGGAAGATCATGAGTTCAAAACTAATCTGGGCTACTCTACCTACAAAATAAAGATAGGAGAAAGATCGGCGCCAGTCAATGAGTCATCCCCTGCTACTCATCAGCAGAATATAGAAATTAAGGGCTGGATTTGACTCCAATATTACAGGGTTGTAAAATTCCCTCAATGATCTCCAGTAGGGCAATTTTTATAGAAGTGTCAGTCAAATCAATGTTCAGTGAACTCTTGTGTCTGAAACACACTTGATAGATGAATACTGCCATGCTCACGCCCTCACTCACATGTTCTTTACCAGTCCAGTAATGATACACCAACTCCATATGGAGCACTCCTGGTCTACAGAACAGCACATTTACTCTGTGTCATACACTGCTCAGTATAATGAACATGGAAATAAACAATACTAAGAAAGGTCCTACTCTCAAGAAACTTAAGTGTCTATGGTGAAAGAAAGAAAAATTAATGCCATTTAGAGTACAAGCTCATGCTTTACCACTGGGCTATATCTACATCCAAAGGGAATTTTAATATGTAGAAACTTAGTAATCATAAACTGATTCAATGGATGATTACTTTCTAGGAAACATAAAACCTGGTTTCCAATGTCCAGCTTCCAGAAAAAGTCCATGAAACCATGCATGCCTGCAATCTCAGAGCTCATGGGTAGAGGCAGGCACATCTTAGAATCTCACTGGCTAGTCAACCTAACCTATACAACTAGCATTTCAGGCTCACTAGAGAGCCTATCTAACTGAAGAGGGAGAATGATAGACACTCAAGCAAGGTCTTTCTCCAGGCTCTGGCCCTGTTTCCCCTCCTGCCCACCCCACAAATACCCATGATATTTAAGTCCTTTATATTTGGATATTGGTTTTGATCAAATGTATAATTATCTGTCACCTGTGTGGTCAATTTCGCAACTCTCTGTTCTTCACTTAGTCTAGAAAAAGATGTGTAGGATAGGAGAAGCAAATTGTGATTTTTCTGTTTTGTTCTTAATTACTATTTTTAAAATTTTTCTATTATAGGGGATACTATGGTGGTGAGGGACAGATATGGAAGGACTGGGAAATGAGCAGGATTCGGGTACATGGCATGAAATTCCCAATGAATCAATTAAAAATATGTTAAAAATGTCAATTTTACTAGATATAGAAAACACATTTTAGATCAAGGTATAAGGGGGAACTTTGTAAGGAGGAAAAGACTACACTCATTTGAACTAAATGTAAATGAGAATAGTTCTATGATGGTGACTACTGATATTACCTTGACAGGACCTCTGGGCGCATCTGTGATTAACTAGCTTGATCATGCAAACTGAAACAGGAAGACCCACCTGAAGTCCACTGTTCCTTGGGGCTTATGCCCTAGACTGAATAAAAGGCTAAAAACTAGCTAAACACTAACATTTGCCATTCCCTGTTTCCAGGCTGTGGATGAAACATGTCAGCCGTTTCCACAAGGACTTGCCAGCCATGGTGGACTGTACACTTGAACTTTAAGCCAAAATAAACCGTTTCCCTCTGAAGTTGTTCTTGTCAGAGTATTTTATCACAAAACAGGAAATGTAACTAAGATATATTTGAAGTTGTGAAGGCACAGCATAGCAGTTAAAAGAAAAACCTAGTGAATAGTTTTGAAATGTTCCAGAAAGAACTAGAAAGATAAGGTGGTTGCATCACTGAGAGAGTAAGGGGAAGGTAGATAAATTCAGAGAGAGGGGAAGCAGGGGGTAAAAGGGAATAAAGCCTCTTCAACCACTGTTAAGAAATTCAATAGAGATTTTGACAAGTGAAGTTATGAGCTGACTTACCATTCCAAAAGAGTGTTCTAAAAATTGAACAGAATAAGTTTGAATAATAGCAAGGAAGAATCATGAAACAGAAAGGAATGTATAATGGAATTGTAAGTCAAGAAAGAAAAGACTGTTATCTTGAAGCCATGAAAGAGCTTTTGTTTTTTAAAAAAGCGACTGCTTACATCAAAAGTTGCTAAGGGTTTAAGATAAAAACAGAAAATTGGCAATATGGCTAATATAAGAAGTCAATTTCAGAACAACGATGACACAGACTAATGAGACTGAATTAAAGTAGGTGTAGGAGGCACAGGATATTACAGATGAGAAAGTTTCAGCAGAGTTCCAGCTACAGAAGAGTGATGAGGTCAGGAAACCCACTCTCCCCAAACACACAGAAAATACTTTCCTTGGAGACCCAAGGTAACTTCGGGTAAAGTACAAGCAACCCGACAACTCTCTGAACTTCGATGTATTTCCCAACTCACACATACACCAAGTACCAAAAAGATAAGGAGCCTTTATAACTGCAAAGTGTTAAACATAAGCTCTCATGAACAGCATCTTATTAACTGTGCCAAGAAATTAATTTTTAACGTAATTAAGAAGCTAATTACTTTAATAAAAAAACTCTACAGACTACAATCAGGCAAGAGATGATAAAATAAAACATACTCCCAAGGTTTTAAAGAATCCAACTCCGTGATAATCCCCCGTGGGATGCCTTACCTACTCTGAGGAGTGAGTGGATAAGGGGTGGGATGGGGAGATGGTAGCGGGAGTGAGAGGAAACTGGGATGCTATGTAAAATAAGATTGTTTTATAAGTTAAATTTTAAAAATTAATTAAAAAAAAAGAATCTAATCTCAGGCTGGAGAGATGGCTCAGTGGTTAAGAGTGCAGGCTGCTCGTCCATAGGACCGTGGATGTATTCCCAGCACCTACATGATAGTTCTCAATCATCTGTAACTCCAGTTCCAGGGCACACAACACCTTCTTCCGGCCTCCACAGGCACAAAACACATACATGGTGCACAGAAATTCAAGCAGGCACATAAAATACAGTAATAACTCTTTTGTAAAAAGAGACGGCACAGTGGTTGAGAAGCTCCAGGAACCTGTACAGGACCAGGTTTGGTCCCAGTACCATATGGTTGCTCCCAACAGTCTGTTATTGAAGTTCCAAGGGATCCAGTGCCTTCTTCTCACCTCCATGGGCACCAGATGGACACAGACTAACACAGGCAAAAATTCACACACAGAAAATAAAAAGGTGCAAGCCTTTAATCCCAGCACTTGGGAGGCAGAGGCAGGTGGATCTCTGTGAGTTCAAGGCCAGCTTGGTCTACAGAGCGAGTTCCAGGACAGCCTCCAAAACAATACAGACAAACCCTGTCTCGAAAAACCAAAAAACCAAAACAAACAGACAAAAACAAAAACAACAACAACAAAAAGAAGCAGCAACAGACACTGGTTTTGAATAGGCAAAGCTGGTGTATTCAAAAATGAATATAAAACAACTACTATAATCATAATGTATTGACTTCCTCTGATTTCTCTCTTTCTCTCTCTCTCTCTCTCTCTCTCCTTCCTTCCTTCCTCCCTCCCTTCCTCCTTCCATCCCTCCCTCCCTCCTGTATACAGACAGCATTCTCCCTCCACATAGGCCTGGAACAGTCAGTGCTCGTAACCTCTGAGCCATCTCTCCAGCCTGACTTCCTTTAATTTCATCAAAAGATAAAACATAAGCCATAACATAAATATATTGCACAAAAAACAGTAATAGCAAAAAGGAAGGGAAATTAGGCTATATCTGAGCTACATTTTACTGGAATTAAGGCAATATTAACCTGAAATACATGGTCATAAATTAAAGTGCTAAGTATAATTCCCAGAACAACTGCTAGAGATTCTAGCTTGATAGTCTACTTGATGGGACTTAGATTCACCTAAGAGACATTTCTCTGGGCATGTATGTGAGGAGTGAGAGATGGCATGTGGATGACAAGGACCAGACTGAATGCTGACAGCACAGTTATACCAGCTAGGTTCCTAGACTGCAAAACAAATAAGAAGGCGGGAGGGAGGGAGGGAGGGAGGGAGGGAGGGAGGGAGGGAGGGAGGGAGGGAGGGAGGGAGGGAGGGAGGGAGGGAGGGAGGGAGTGAAGGTAGGAAGACATATGGACCAGAATTTATCTCTTTCTGCTTCCTGGTTGAGAGACAATGTACCCAGCTGACTCCACACCTAAAAACAGCTCTTGCCATTATATTTTCCCACCCCAATGGGCTATACCCTCAATCGATAAGCCAAAATAAACCCTTTCTGTTAAGCTGTTTTGTTTATCAGATATTTAACTATAGCAATACATGGTGTACTAAAATATTTTTGCTTGGATTGGGCTTATCTGTTCTTCATAATAGAAAGAAAGGGATTCTCATGAGGACCCACCCTTCCTTAACTTAAGGGATTCCTGACAGCTAATGGTGAAGGAATGACGGAACTTTATTCGGTGTTGTAGCAACTGATAATCTGTCCATGCTCCACTAAAATCTTCCACACATGCACATGTAAGCAACCCTAATTATATGCAGTGGGTTACACACAAGACATGGCACCAACAGTGGGGCCTGCTGGGAAAAAGGAAGATTACAGCAGAAGGGGGGATGCCCAAAACAGTCAAAAACAAGGAAAAGGTATTTTGTTAAAGACAAAGAAGCCAGTAAGTTCAGAACAAAACCAACATGAGATAGAAATCAAATGATGGCACCAGTCCTTATATGAGATTGTATAAATTATGAATGAACTGACTATGCAATCAAAAGGCAGAGATTGCCAAATTAGTTTTTTTTTTTTTTTTTTTTGAGAAAGGGTTTCCCTGTGTAGTCCTGGCTGTCCTGGAACTCACTCTGTAGACCAGGAATTAAAGGTATACCTAACCACCACCCAGCTCAAACTGGTTTTTGTTTTGTTTTGTTTTTTAAAGCTATCTATAGGAGATACAATTTAAACTGAAACACATAGACCACTTCAAAGCAAAA